AGCTTTCGATTTTAATCGCAGAAAGTTTTCCGCTGCACTAATTCACCCCCCCCCCTCTTAGTGCTCTCGATCCTAACAGCCTCTACGTAAAAAAAAAAGAAAAAAAAGAAAAATCGAGGGGTGTTTTTGAGAATCAAATATATCCCCTCCCCCCACCCCCCACCCCCCACCCCACCCCCCTCGGCGCCGTTCTGTTATCGATGCTTCCCGCTCCGCTCCGCCTGTCCCCTTTCATCAAATCCTAAAAAGATATGATGTTTATTCCTTGACATTGTTTTACCGAGTTGTGGGTGGAAAAGGGGTCCACTCGCCGCATTGTTGTTGTACATCTTTGTTTCACTCGGGCCCCTTTTCTGGTTATTTTCTATTTACATTTATTTTTATTTCCACCCTCTAAAAAGATCCCACCCGCACACAAACAAAAACCCTACTCGCCCGGTATCCCTCTCCGTCCCTCTTCCCCCCCAGCAGCCCCCTGCTTCCCGTCCTTCGCTTCAAAGGTACGCCGTATGTGTGTTCGCGTGTAGATTTTCAATCGCCTTTTTTTCCTGATCTTCTCGGGATTTCTGTTCGTTTTCTTCGTTTTCCTCAAGTTTGAATCTTTCCTGTCTCATCTCATCCCACATGCCGTAGTTATGATCAAAACATGCTCAAAGATGATGTTTTGTTGTTGCTTTACCCGGTTTAGTTGGTCAAGAAAGCTGTTATCTTGGTTGTTGCAGTGATCTCATGGTGGTTCTCGGGGACACGACAGCGACCGGGTTCCTCCGCCTCCAAGCTTCCTCAATTCCTGCGGTAGGCATCCTTGATTTGGGTCTCTGATCCTGTTCCTCCTTCAGTAGGTCTTGCTATGTGTTTGCGAGTGTGTGTTCTAAAGGCTGCCCTTTTGTCTGTTTTAGGGAAGGCGAGGGTCTAATGGTGTTCTTTGGCGCACGTATCATCGTCGTATGAGGTGCCATGTGACTCGATGCAGTGTTGATCGTCGGCAGCTCCCTGGATTGGCCACTGGCAGAGGCTTGATGCCAAGGTCACCGCTTTTGTTGAATCCGAGAGCTGTTCGGTCAAAGGGCTTACAGGAACCGGTAGTGGAGGAACCTGATGCATTGGGACTGGCCCCCGAGATCATGCACTTCTACCGTCGCCCTCTGCTTCAGGAAAGTGCTGTGGCGGAACTGCTGAGGCAGGTTCAAATAAGGGTTTCTGCTGACATCGTGGACATAGAAACTGAGCAGTGCATCAACGTAGGTCTGAATGGTATGCTGTCAGGCGAGCAGCTCAGAATACTTAAGTGGCTTCTTCAAGAAACATTTGAGCCTGAGAACTTGCAGGCAGAGAGCTTCCTGGAAAAAGAGGCTTCAAAGAATGTTGGTGCCATGATCGTTGAGGTTGGACCTCGCATGTCCTTTACCACAGCCTGGTCAACGAATGCTGTATCGATCTGCCAGGCTTGCTCTTTGGCAGAAGTGACTCGGATGGAGAGGTCAAGAAGATATCTTCTGCGTGTTAGGACAGGAAGCAAGCCACTGGATGAGAGCCAAATTAATGATTTTGCAGCCATTGTTCATGATAGAATGACAGAGTGTGTTTATTCAAAAAGGCTAGTGACATTCCACTCTAGTGCTGTACCAGAGCCTGTTACGGTAATTCCAGTTATCGAGAGGGGGAGGGAGGCATTGGAAGAAATTAATTTGAAGATGGGACTTGCTTTTGATGAGCAAGATATTCAGTACTACACCCGCCTTTTTAGAGATGACATCAAACGGAATCCAACTACCGTTGAGCTCTTTGACATTGCTCAATCGAACAGTGAGCATAGCAGGCACTGGTTCTTTAATGGGAAACTCATTATAGATGGTGAGCCAATGAGCAAAACATTAATGCAGATTGTGAAGAGCACTTTGAAGGCAAACCCAAAGAATTCTGTTATTGGATTCAAGGACAACTCAAGTGCAATAAAGGGATTTCCAGTAACCCAATTGCGTCCAGCCTCACCTGGCTTGACATCTCCACTATGCAATTTAACGTGTGAGCTTGATGTATTATTTACTGCAGAGACTCATAACTTTCCTTGTGCTGTGGCTCCTTACCCTGGGGCAGAAACAGGTGCTGGAGGCCGCATAAGGGACACACATGCCACAGGAAGGGGATCCTTTGTTGTTGCTTCCACGGCTGGCTATTGTGTTGGCAACCTTCATATTGAAGGGGCCTATGCTCCATGGGAAGATCCATCCTTCACATACCCATCAAATTTGGCTTCTCCTCTGCATATTTTAATTGATGCAAGTGATGGAGCATCTGACTATGGCAACAAGTTCGGAGAGCCTCTGATTCAGGGCTACACGAGGACTTTCGGGATGAGACTTCCAAGTGGTGAGCGGCGTGAATGGCTGAAACCTATTATGTTCAGTGCAGGAATTGGACAGATTGATCATTCACACATATCAAAGGGAGAGCCAGAAGTGGGCATGCTTGTTGTCAAGATTGGAGGTCCAGCTTATCGGATTGGAATGGGAGGTGGCGCGGCCTCGAGCATGGTCAGCGGGCAGAATGATGCAGAGCTAGATTTTAATGCGGTGCAGCGAGGAGATGCTGAGATGGCACAGAAGCTATACCGTGTAGTCCGTGCTTGTGCTGAAATGGGAGACAAAAATCCTATCATTAGCATCCATGATCAGGGAGCTGGGGGAAATTGTAACGTTGTGAAAGAAATTATCTACCCTGAAGGAGCTGAAATTGACATTCGCTCTATAGTAGTCGGTGATCATACCATGTCAGTTTTAGAGATTTGGGGTGCAGAGTACCAAGAACAGGATGCACTGTTAATAAAACCTGAGAGTCGGAGCTTGTTGGAGTCTGTATGTAAGAGGGAAAGGGTCTCCATGGCTGTTATCGGTACCATCAGCGGTAGTGGGCGAATCATGTTGATAGACAGCTCAGCTGTTGAGCATTGCCAGATAAATGGACTCCCTCCCCCACCTCCTGTTGAGAATCTTGAGCTTGAAAAGGTGCTTGGAGACATGCCCCAAAAAAGCTTTGAGTTCAAACGGGTAACACCTGTGGTTGAGCCGCTTGATATTGCCCCTGGCACTACATTAATGGATTGCCTGAAAAGGATCTTGAAATTACCTTCAGTTTGTTCTAAACGGTTTTTAACAACAAAAGTTGACAGGTGTGTGACTGGACTTGTGGCGCAACAGCAGACTGTGGGTCCCCTCCAACTTCCTCTTTCTGATGTTGCTGTTATCTCTCAGACATACACAGACCTGACTGGTGGTGCTTGTGCAATAGGTGAGCAGCCAATAAAGGGTTTATTAAACCCAAAATCTATGGCAAGGTTGGCTGTTGGGGAAGCATTGACAAATTTAGTCTGGGCGAAGGTTACATCCCTTGGAGATGTGAAGGCTAGCGGTAACTGGATGTATGCTGCCAAGGTAGATGGAGAAGGAGCAGCCATGTATGATGCTGCTGTGGCTCTGTCAGAATCCATGATTCAACTAGGTATAGCCATTGATGGGGGAAAGGATAGTCTTTCTATGGCAGCACATGCTTCCGGTGAGCTTGTTAAGGCTCCCGGTAACCTGGTCATCAGCACATATGTGACTTGCCCTGATATAACACTGACCGTGACTCCTGACTTGAAACTTGGAGATGATGGCGTTCTTCTACACATTGATCTAGCGAAAGGACTTCGTCGCTTAGGTGGTTCTGCACTTGCCCAGGTGTTTGACCAAGTTGGTGATGGGTGCCCTGACCTTGATGATGTTCTATACCTGAAAGTTGTGTTTGAGACTGTTCAGGAGCTACTAAGTGAACGACTAATTTCTGCCGGCCATGACATCAGTGATGGTGGGATTATTGTTTGTATTCTTGAGATGGCATTTGCTGGTAACTGTGGTGTGCAGTTGAACTTGAGTTCCAAGGGCCATAACCTTCTCCAAGAACTGTTTGCAGAAGAGCTAGGTCTCGTTCTTGAGGTCAGCTCGCAGAACATTAACAAAGTTGTGAAAAGGCTTGAAGCAGCTGGAATCTCTGGGGAGATAATTGGAAATGTTACTGCATCACCAACCATAGAGTTGTCTGTTGATGGGATTAACCAACTAAAGGAAGAGACATTCTACCTTAGGGACTTGTGGGAGGAGACAAGTTTTCAGCTGGAGGGTCTTCAAAGGCTGGCTTCTTGTGTCAAATTGGAGAAGGAAGGCTTGAAGAGCAGACACGTACCTTTGTGGAGATTATCCTTTACTCCGAGGTTCACTGATGAAAAGCTGATGTCTGCTACCTTGAAACCCAAGGTAGCTGTCATTCGAGAGGAAGGGAGCAATGGTGATAGAGAAATGTCAGCTGCATTCTATGCTGCTGGATTTGAACCTTGGGACATCACCATGTCGGACCTTTTGCATGGACAAATTTCTTTAAACGATTTCAATGGAATTGTATTTGTTGGTGGATTTAGTTATGCCGATGTGCTGGATTCAGCAAAAGGTTGGTCAGCAACAATAAGGTTTAATCAGCCTCTTCTACAACAATTTCAAGATTTCTACAATCGTCCAGACACTTTCAGCCTTGGTGTTTGCAATGGGTGTCAGCTCATGGCTCTTCTTGGATGGGTGCCTGGTGCCAGTGTTGGTGGTTCCCTTGGTAATGGTGGAGATATGTCACAACCTAGGTTCATTCACAACGAATCTGGTCGCTTTGAGTGCCGCTTTACAAGTGTAACGATTGGAGAATCTCCAGCCATAATGTTCAAAGGAATGGAGGGCAGTACATTGGGTGTTTGGGCTGCTCATGGTGAGGGAAGAGCGTACTTCCCCGATGATGGCATTCTAAATAATGTTCTTAAGTCTAGATTGGCCCCTCTACGGTATTGCGATGATGATGGCAGCATAACCGAGATTTATCCTTTCAACCCAAATGGTTCTCCGCTGGGGGTTGCTGCTCTTTGTTCTCCTGATGGAAGGCACCTCGCCATGATGCCACATCCAGAACGATGCTTCATGATGTGGCAATTCCCGTGGTATCCGAAGGAATGGGATGTTGAAAAGAGAGGGCCAAGTCCATGGTTACGCATGTTTCAGAATGCTCGCGAATGGTGTTCTTGAAAGAGGTACATTCACCTTTTGTTTGCCTGAAGTCTTAGATTTTTCCCAAAAAATCTGCATTACCAACTACAATCAATATAAAAGCTGACTCTTACTCCTGATCTTTTATCTGCTTTTTGTCCATTTATTTGGTCCTAACTTTTGAAACTTGAGTTTATGCAGAGAAATGGAGTTTCATACTGTCAGTCTTCTGTTTCCTTGGCTATTCTTCACAATATTTAATTATCTGATATGGTACTCGAGAAGTGTCCACCAAAAAGGCATTTCAAGACAATAATGAAGGAACCCATTGATTCCCTGATGAAAATGACTGGGTTACATTGGACTTGTTTTTTCGAACTCCATCGTAACTATGCGAAACAAATAATCCAGAATGGCTTTTATTTACTGTGTTTTCGAACTCCATCTGGTCTGTTTTCTGTTTCATGGATATAAACCACATGAGAACCGGCATCTTTTGGTTACTTATTCCATTTTGCATCTGATTTGTGGAACTAAACAATGAATTTGAGTAAATAATATGAGGCTTAATCACAAGGATAAATTTAGCACTCTTTGGATACGTAGAATGGAGGTACCTTCGTTCAGCATTGTTGTTGGCAGTGTAATTGTTGCAGAAGTATAATCGATGTTGATTTTGAGCGGGGAGATTCTGAGGAAATGTTTTTCTTTGTTGAAACAAGAAAACTATTGACGATGATTAAAATGACTGATATGTCAATTTTTTAATGTGTCCTTGTGGCTGCACGCACATTCTAAATATTGTAGATTAAGGACAAATGTCTATTTCTTTTCCTTTTAGTGTTCAACTCTCCACCTCGGGTGTCATTCATCGGAATGTTTGATGAAAGGTAGTCACTGGTTTAGCCATGGTCATTGTTTGCTTGGCGATGCTTATGTTCTAGATGGAGTTGATCACAAAGTCACTACCAAGTGTATGTATTACTGATATAATAGAAAAGGCAAGGAACATTAACTTTTATCTTCTATTATAATCATAATTACAGGTAATTTATAACATTAACCCCCAGTGTGCGTAGTGTGATCTTAAAAATTAAATTTTAATTAGCTAATATAATCCCAAATATTTTTACGCGATATATCTTTTCCATGCCACTTTCAGGTTCTTTTCAAGATTGAAGAAGGAAACTTAATTTTCTTGTAATAAAGCAAGAGAAAGGGTAGACGTTTTACAAAACTGAGACAATATGCAGTCTCAACAGACATTTTCTTAATATTAAATTGGATTAATTATATATAACTGTTGGTCTAAACTTATATTTTTATCCCAAAGAAAAAAAAAAAAGTAGTTGATATTGAGCCTCAAATTAGAGTTCCAAGTTGGTGATCTCATCAATCGCATGTTTTTTAATTGCATATTATACTTTTAAAGTTTCAAGGGTAAATTCTCAGTTTGTGTCTTTTTTTTTTGTAAATATTCTTACATAGACCTTTAAATTTTCAAAATGATAAAATTAATCCTAAACAATTTTCATTTTTTTTTATGAGTTACATCCTCTCTCTCTCTCCCCTTTTACAAGTTTAATACATTTGAACCAAATAATTAAATTAAACCAACACGAAACTTGGACTGATTAAAAATATAATATTTTATTAATATATATCAAGTCATATTAATAAAATAATAATATATAAATATATAAAAAAATTAAAACATAATAAAATATAAATAATAATTTAAAAATAATGTAATCAACTATAAAGTAAAAAAAAATAAAAACAATATTTATTTATTTTTTAAAAATAAATAAATATATAAAATTTTTAAATATTAGAAAATCTACAAAATAAATTTAAAAGGTCTAGATTACCATTATATATTTTAGCCTTTAAAATAGTTCTTTTATTGGTTTTGACCCTTAAATATATTTTCAACCCATTAACTTTAATAAATTCGTCAAAATTTATCAAAATAGCTGAATTTGAAAAAACATTCAGCCTATTAACAAGCTAAATTAACCAGAAAAGTATCATTTAAATTAGGTATAGACCCAGTTACATTATTTTTTTTTAAAAATAAAAATAATATAATTGGGTCTAAATCTTTATGTTTTTAAACTAAACATTTGGAAAATCATTCAAAACAATTAACAAATGCAAATGTTACAAAATATTTAATATAATGATCAAAATTTATGAAATTTAACTGAACTTAAAAAAAAAATCCATCCTATTAACAAGATGAATTATAAAAAAAATATCATTTAAATTCTTAAAAATAGAAATATTATATTTTTCTCTATCTAGGACTCTTTTGCAAACGATTCAAGTAAGCATGGCATTGTTTTGCTAAAGTTTAGATCCAATTGCATTGTTTTTGAAAAGGAGCTTAAAATAATATAAGTGGGTCTAAATCTTGGTGTTTTTGAACCAAACATTTAGAATACCATTAAAGCCAATTAATAAGTCCAAATGTTACAAAAGATTTTATGGAATCAACAAAATTCTTGCAATTTAGCTGAATTTAAAAAAATCAACCTATTAACATGTTGAATTTACCAAGAAATTATCATTCGATTTTTAAAAATTAAAATATTAAAAATTAAAATATTTAAAACTTTTCATAAAGTTTGGCCTTGTTTTGTCAGGGTTTAGACCTAACTGTCCTATTTTTTGAACTACACTTTCTAAATACCTTTCAACCAATTAATGAGTCCAAATGTTACAAAATATTTTATGGAAGCATCAAAATTTATAAAATTTAGCTTAATTTATAATTATTTAGCCAAATTACAAACTAAATTAACTAAAAAATTATCATTTATATTCTTAAATATAAAAAATATATTTCTTTTCTATTTAGGACCATTGTCAAGGTTTCCATGAAGTTTGGCCTTGTCTTGATCAGGTTAGACTCGATTACACTATTTTTTGAAATTAGACCAAAGTGTTTTTCAATCAAACTTTCAGAATGTATTTCAAACTAATTAAAAAGTCCAAGTATTTACAAAAGAGTGCAAAGAAGCATCGAAATCTGTGAAATTTAGTTGAATTTAGAAAAATCAACCTATTCACAAGTGAATTAACCATAAAATGATCATTTCAATTCTCAAAAAGAGAAAATAGATATTTTTTTTTTCATTTGGGACCATTGCCAAGGTTTTCCTGAAGTTTGACTATAGCTTGACCAAGTTTAGACCCAGTTACAATGTTTTTTAATAGGGTCCAAAAATAGTATAACATAATCTAAATCTTTATGTTTTTGATTGAACCAAACTTTCGTAATACATTTCCAACCTATTAACAAGTGCAAATGTGACAATATGTTTCATGGACTCATCAAAATTTATAAAAATTAATTGAATTCAAAAAATTAACTTATTAACAAGCTAAATTTACCAAATTCCTAACAATAGAAAATATTGCATTTTATCTATCTAGGATCATTGCCAAGGTCTCTATAAAGTTTGACCTTGTTTTGATCAGGTTTAGACACAATTATACTGTTTTTGAAAGGGGCTAAAATAGTATAGTTGGATCTAAATCTTGATATCCTTGAACCAAACTTTTAAAATACCTTTCAAACCAATTAACAAGTCCAAATGTTACAACATATTTCATGGAAGTATCAAAATTTATGAAATTTAGCTAGATTTGGAAAAATTTAACCCATTAACAAAATAAATTAATCAAAAAATTATCAGTTAAATTCATAAAATTAAAAAATATATTTTTGTCCATCTGAGACCATTTAAAAGGTTTTCCTGAAAGTTTGGTCTTATATTTTGGCCAGATTTAGATCTAGTTATACTATTTCGAAAAGGGCTAAAAACATAGCACAATTGGGTTTGAATCTTGGAATTTTTGGACCAAACTTTAAGAATACTTTTAAATCACTTAATAAGTAAATGTTACAAAAGAATTAATTAAAGCATCAAAATTCATGAAATTTTTCTGAATTTAAAAAAATTCAACCTATTATTAAGTTGAATTAACCAAAAAATTATTAATTAAATTCTAAAAAATTAGAACATATTGTATTTTTATCCATCTAGGACCATTGCCAAGGTTTCCATGAAGTTTTGCCTTGTTTTAACTAGTTTAGACTCAGTTATATTATTTTGTAGAAAGAGTAAAAAATAATATGATTGACTTAAATCTTAGAGTTTTTAACCAAACTTCTAGAAGACTTATCAAATCAATTAACGAGTTCAAAAAATATAAAAGATTTCATTACACAAAACCATGAACATCATAATATATGCAATAGATAATATAAAGTAAAAAAATATCAAATAAATAAAAAGTAAAAAGAGTGTGTATTATGTCACACACGTCATCATTCACCTAATTGGCTTGTAGGTATATGACTAGCATTGATTAGTGGCTAATGGTATCAATCAAGAAGAAGGTATAGACTATAAAAAATCCTTCGCTTAGTAAGATCTGAAGTCATAAGGATACTCCTTGCCTATGCATGTTATAAACATTTTAAGTTATTTCAAATGGATATCAAAAGTGATTTTCCTAATGATTTTATTTCCGAAGAAATTTATGTTGAGCAACCACCCAGATTTGATAATGTTTTTTTTTCAAACCATATTTATAAGTTATCTAAGGCTCTTTGTGGGTTGAAGTAAGCCCGAAAGGCTTGGTATGAGAGGCTTAGTTCTTTTCTTATTCAAAATAATTTTTTGAAAGACAAGATCGATACCATATTATTTATTAAATATTTTTAAAATATTTTTTTTATTATTTAAATTTATATTAATGATATTATTTTTTGTTCTACAAATGAATCTTTACATGAATCATTTACCAAAACAATAAGCCAAGAATTTGAAATGAGTTTAATGGATGAATTATCATTTTTCTTAGGATTACAAATTAAGCAACTAAGTGATGAAACTTTTATTAGTTAAACTAAGTATGCATTGAATCTTCTAAAATGGTTTCACTTAGATAGTGCTAAGGCTATTAACATACCAATGAGCACTTCTATTAAATTAGATATAAACAATGAAGGAGAATGATTTGATCAAAATACTTATAGAGGTATGATAAAAAGCTTGTTATATCTTACTACAACTAGACCTGATATAATGTTTAGTGTCAGGTTTTATGCAAGATTTCAATCAAATCCTAAATAATCTCCCTATAAAATAGTTAAAAGGATATTTATATACTTAAAAGGAACTTCTGATTTAGAATTATGGTATCTTAAATCTAATAACTTTGACTTGATTGCTTATATTGATACCGCCTTTGCAAAATGTAAAATAGATAGAAAAAGTACCTCTGAAACAAGTCAACTTTTAGATCATGCACTTGTCTTTTGGTCTTCTAAGAAACAAAATTCTATTACATTATCTACAACTGAGGCTAAATATATAACGACAGGTGCATGCTATGCATAAATAATTTGGATGAAAATACTTTACAAGATTATAGACTATGCCTGAAAAATATTTCTATAAAGTGTGATAACGCTAGTGTAATTTACTTGTCAAAGAATCCTATTAAGCATTCACGAACAAAACACATTGATAT